TTATTTCAAGTAGTTTTTTACTTGATTCTCTAGGATTCTCTAAGTATATCATCATGTCATCTGCAAAGAGTGATAGCTTTGTTTCTTCTTTGCCTATTCTAATGCCTTCAATTTCTTTTTCTTCTCTTATTGCTAAAGCTAAGGTTTCCAGTACAATATTGAATAACAGTGGTGATAATGGACATCCTTGTTTCACCCCGATCTTATTGGAAATGCTTCTAGCCTGTCCCCATTACATATAATGCTTGCTGAAGGTTTTAGATATGCTATTTATTATTTTAAGGAAGACTCCATTTATACCTATGCTTTCTAGTGTTTTTAATAGGAATGGGTGTTGTATTTTATCAAAAGCTTTTTCTGCATCTATTGAGATGATCATGTGGTTTCTGTTGGTTTTGGTGTTGATATGCTCAATGATGCTGATAGTTTTCCTAATATTGAACCAACCCTGCATTCCTGGTATAAATCCTACCTGGTCATAGTGTATTATTCTTGTGATAAGTTGCTGTAATCTATTTGCTATATTTTGTTTAAAATTTTTGCATCTATATTCATTAGAGAAATTGGTCTATAATTTTCTTTCTCTATTTTGACTCTTCCTGGTTTAGGTATCAACACCATATTTGTATCATAAAAAGAATTTGGTAAGACTCCTTCTTCACCTATTTTCCCAAATAGTCTATATAATATTGGAATTAATTGTTCTTTAAATGTTTGATAGAATTCGCATGTAAATCCATCTGGCCCTGGAGATTTTTTCCTAGGGAGTTCATCAATGGCTTGTTCAATTTCTTTTTCTGAGATGGGGTTATTTAAGTATTTTACTTCCTCTTCTGTTAATCTGGGCAATTTATATTTTTGTAAATATGTATCCATTTCACTAAGATTGTCAAATTTGTTGGCATATAGTTGGGCAAAATAATTCCTAATTATTGTTTTAATTTCCTCTTCCTTGTTGGTGTAGCTTCCCTTTTCATTCTTGATACTAGTAATTTGGTTTTCTTTTCTTTTTTTAATTAAATTAACCAAAGGTTTATCTATTTTATTGTTTTTTTCATAAAACCAGCTCTTAGTTTTATTTATTAGTTCAATAGTTTTCTTAATTTCAATTTTATTAATTTTTCCTTTGGTTTTCAATATTTCTAATTTGTGTTTAGTTGAGGATTTTTAATTTGTTCTTTTTCTAGTTTTTTTAGTTGTATGCCCAATTCATTAATCTTCTTTTTCTATTTTATTTATGTAAGCATTTAGAGATATAAAACTTCCCCTAAGAACTGCTTTGCTGCATCCCATAAGTTTTGGTATGTTGTCTCATTATTGTCATTCTCTTGAATGAAATTATTGATTGTTTCTATGATTTGTTGTTTGACCCAATCATTTTTTAGGATTAGATTATTTAGTTTCCAATTATTTTTTAGTCTATCTTTCCATGGCCCTTTATTACATATAATTTTTATTGCATCATGATCTGAAAAGGATGCATTTAATATTTCTGCCTTTCTGCATTGGATTGTGAGGTTTTTATGCCCTAGTACATGGTCAATTTTTGTGTATGTGCCATGTACTGCAGAAAAAAAGTATATTCCTTTCTATCCCCATTCAGTTTTCTCCAGAGGTCTATCATACCTAACTTTTCTAATGTTCTATTCACCTCCTTAACTTCTTTCTTGTTTATTTTGTGGTTAGATTTATCTAGTACAGAGAGGGGGAGGTTGAGGTCCCCCACTAGTATAGTTTTGCTGTCTATTTCTTCCTGTAACTCCCTGAACTTCTCCTCTAAGAATTTGGATGCTATACCATTTGGTGCATATATGTTTAGTAATGATATTACTTCATTGTCTATGGTGCCTTTTAGCAGGATGTAGTTTCCTTCCTTATCTCTTTTGATTAGATCTATTTTTGCTTTTGCTTTGTCTGAGATCAGGATTGCTACCCCTGCTTTTTTTACTTCAGCTGAAGCATAATATATTCTGCTCCAGCCTTTTACCTTTACCCTGTATGTGTCACTCTTTTTCAAATGTGTTTCCTGTAAACAACATATTGTAGGATTATGGTTTTTAATCCATTCTGCAATCCATTTCCTTTTATGGGAAAGTTCATCCCATTCACATTCACAGTTATGATTACTATCTGTGTCTTTTTCTCCATCCTTTCCCCCATTTATGCTTTTCTTTCTCCTTTTTCCTTTCCCCTTCACTAGTGTTTTGCTTTTGACCTTCAGTCCCTCCTCTTTTATTATCCCTTTCCCTTTTCTTCCCCTTTACTTACTGCTTTCTCCCTTCTCCCCTCCCTTTTCTTTCCCCCTCCCTTTTCTTTCCCCTTTTCCCTCCTACTGCCTATAGGGCAAGTTAGATTTCTATACCTAACTGATTATGTTATGCCCTTCTTGAGCCAAATCTGATGAGAGTAAGGTTCAAACAATGCTCCCCCCCTTCTTTCCCTCTGCTGTAATAGGATTTTGTGTCTTTTCCTGTAATGTAATTTACCCTTGTCTGCCTCCTCCTTTCTCAGTACATTTTCTAAGATCAGATTGATCCACTTATTTGGATCCATTTAACCCACTTGATTAGATTTTTTTTTATCATTACATCAAAGTCAACTAATATCCACCCTCTTTATGTATACTCCTTTAACATGGTGTAATAACAATACAGTTCCCAAGGGTTGCAAGTGTCATATTCCCTTGTAGGGTTTAAACAGCCCCCTTATTAACAACATATTGTATCTTTCTGTCCCATTTACCTTTTTGTCCTTCTTGAGTCCTGTACTTGAAGATCAAATTTTTTGTTGAGCTCTGGTCTTTTTATCAGGAAAGTTTGGAAGTCTCCTATTTCATTGAATATCCATCTCCTCCCTTGAAAAATGATGCTCATTTTTGCTGGGTAATTGATCCTTGGCTGCATTCCAAGCTCCTTTGCCTTATGGAATATCATGTTCCATGCCCTGCGTCTTTTAATGTAGAAGCTGCAAGGTCCTGTGTAATCCTGACTGTGGTTCCATGGTATTTAAATTGTTTCTTTCTGGCTGCTTGCAGCACCTTCTCTTTCATCTGGTAATTTTGGAATTTTGCTATTATATTCCTTGGCATTGTCAATTTGGGATCTCTTTCAGGTGGTGATGTGATTCTTTCTATGGTTATTTTCCCTTCTGGTTCTAGGACTTCGGGCAGTTTTCCTTTATGATTTCCTGAAAGATACTGTCCAGGCTTTTTTTTCATCATGATTTTCAGGTAGTCCAATAATTTTTAAATTGTCTCTCCTGATGATTTTCCAGGTCGGTTGTTTTACTGATGAGGTATTTTATTTTCATCTATTTTTTCATTTTTTTGTTTCTGTTTGACTGATTCTTGCTCTCTCATAGAGTCATTAGTTTCCATTTGTCCAATTCTAGTTTTTAACAGATTGTTTTCTTCTGTTAGTTTTTGTACTTCCTTCTTCAATTGGCCAATTGTGTTTTTTAGGGACTTGTTTTCTTCAGTGTATTTTTTTTCCAATTGGCCAATTGTATTTTTGAAGGACTCTTCTACCTCTCTCATTTGACTATTAAAATCCTTCTTGAGCTCTTCTAAGAAGGCTTTTTGGGCTTCAGACCAGTTCATATTCCCTTTTGTTGTTGCAGATGTGGGTTTGTTGACAATGTTGTCCTCTTCAGAATTTCTGTCTTGATCTTCACTCTTCTCATAATATGAATCTATGGTACGTTTCTTTTTACTCATGGTGTTTCTTTATTCCCTGGCCTTTAAAGAGATTGAGCTCTCCTGCTGGGGAACAGAGGGCACTGACCCAAGCTTCTTGTGTTGGGAGCCTAGGTCTTGGTCACTGGCTTTGTGTGCTGGGGCCTCTTATGTTGGCAATTGGAGGCTGTAGGTTTCTGGCAGCTTACCTGTGTTGGGCTGGAATCAGCAAGGCTGGAACTTTCAGGCAATTCTAGGTTGCCTGCTTTTCCTTTCCTTTAGCTTTCTTCAGCTCCTTTTAGATGGGTGCTGCAGGTGTTTATCTGCCTGGGGCCCCTGCAGTGTTGCCTCCCTGTTTCTGCTAATGCACTGGGAGATTCCTTTGAGTAGAGTGCAGGCACCTGGTGGTTTTCTGAGCTGGCCTCCTGGTTCCCCACCCTCACTGAGGCACTGGAGGTCCAGGTGTTGGTGTTTGCCTGCTCTACCACCTGGGCTTCAGGATCTTCTTCACAATTGGAGGCTCAGGGCTCACAGCTCACCTGGTATTGGGCTGGAACCAGAAAGGCCAGGTCTTTAGGAAGACTTTAGGTTGTTTTCTTCACCTCCTTTCAGAAGAATGCCACAGGGTACTTATTTGCCTGGGGCCCCGTGTATTTCTGCCTCCCTTATTTTTGCTGAGGCACTGGGAGACCCATTTGCTGGGCTGCTGCACTGCTGCTCCCGTCTTTCTTCTAGTTCAGGTGTTCCAGGGTTTTTTTCTGGGGTATATTTTGGGTTTTCAGAGGTTGATAGGGGAGAGTGAGAGCTACTGCCTTTTTACTCTGCCATCTTGGCTCCCGGAAGCAGAAGTAACTCCTATAGTCTTTAAGGAAGAAAAGGGACAGTGGGAAAAAAAAATTGGGTAATGTGGAAAGGGAAGAGATTGAAACAGGGCAAAAGAAAAGAAGAAATCCAATTTCAGTGGTGGGAGGAGATCTTATTGAAGAATACTCCTATGGTGGGAGTAGATGAGCAGAGGTGGGGGGAGAGTTACATTCTGTGAAGAGAAATGAAGACCTTACATGTATATTATCTTCAGGGATCTGATGCTCAGAGGCTCTGACAGAGTGTATCTTTATGGACCATATTCTGCTTCAGTAGGAGGTAAACAGAGACTCCTGGGGCAGGCAGAAAAGAGGCGTAGATCCAAAGTGGAGATTTTATGGCAAATGGAAAAAGAAATGATTAGGGTTGAGGAGGGGAAGGTTAGTGAAAAGTATCTCATGATCAGAGACATAGGGAAATGTCTAACACTAGGTAATAATTCTATCATTTCTATCTCCTACAGGAGCTGATACTTCCGAGAGTGAATACATCAGAAAAATGGGGGAGAGGACAACATTCACAAGGCAATAACGTAGAAATTGTTTCAAAGACAAAACTAAAAATAGGTACTTTAGAAGATTTGATTCCATGAGAAACACAGAAACGTAAAAAAAGAACAAATAAAGATGAAGGTCATAAGTGAAAGAATAAATGCTCAGAAAAGACAAAAAGTGAAGAGAATTAATAAAGAGAATAAGATAAAGAAACCTTTTTCATTTTATTTTTAAGAAAAAGGTATAGCAAATGAAAAAATATAATAAACAAAAGAAGTTGAATTGGAGGAAAGGAAGATTATTTTAATTAAATATTTTTCTGAGAGGGAGAAAAAAAAAGAATAACTGGATGTTTGATGAAGAAATAAAATGAATTAATAAGTAAAACTCTAAAAGTAGAGAAAGGGGTAATAATGGGTAGAGTAGGATTAGAGGGGAAAACGGAGAGACCGTGTGCTTATAGAGGTAAAGTACGATGCTTTTGCACCAGGGGAAAAAAAAAAGCAGCAGCACTACCATAAAGAATCATAGACCCTGGAATTAAATATTTCAGAAGGTAAAGATATAGTCATAAAACCAAGAAAAAATGTACCTTGAGAAATTGAGTATAATCTCATAGGTGTGGTTAGAGTAGAAGGGAGAAAATGGACCTTTTATGCAATACAGACCTAAACATTCCTGAAGAAAATATCAGTTCTGAAGAGAATCTTTGAAATACAAACACGTGAGTTAAGAGAATCATTAAAAAGTAAATGTAAGAGTAAACAAAACATGAGAGTAAACAGAAAAGTAAATCATAAGTGACTAAACAAGAATAAAATGTTTATATTCTAATATAGGGAGATGATACCAGTGTCCCCTCAGAATCATAGTATCATTAGGAGTCGTAGAGGGAATTTAAAAAGAAAGAGAACTTGGACTGGTTTTGTTATATTTTGATTATCTTAAAAGAAGAATGGAGAGAAAAGATAAATGAAATACCCTGGGTTGGGGTGGGAAGAGGAAGTGAGGGGAAAACTGTGTCACGTAATCAGGATTTCTTAGTAGAAGACTATACAATTGTAACCCAGACTTGAAGAGCCTTTGAGCATGCTCAGTTCATCTAACTTGAATCCCTTACAGCGTGGGTAGGGGAAACCTTCTTGATTGGCTGTCTGCATCTTTAAAAATGGTGAGACCTGTTGTGGTTGTTGTTGTTGTTGTTGTTGTTGTTGTTGTTGTTGTTTAGGCTGTTCTCTTTGTGACCCCATTTGTTTTGTTTGTTTATTTTTTGCAATGATTGGAGCAGTTTGCCATTTCCTTCTCTAGTATATTTTGCAGATGAGGAAACCAAGACAAACAGGGTTAAGTGACTTGTCCAGGGTCACGTAGCTAGTAAGTGTCTGAGGTCAGATTTGAACTCAGAAGATGAGTCTTTCTGACTTCAGGCCCAGAATTCTATCCACCGCATCACCTACCTATCTTGAAAATATTTTTGTTGTTCAGTTGTTAGTTGTGTCCAACTCTGTGACCCTAAGAACCATCGTTGTCCAGGAGGTTTTCTTTACAAAGATAGTAGAGTGGTTTCCCATTTCCTTCTCCAGTGGGTCCAGTGGGTCCTTTTGTCAGACAATCAGAGGTTAAGTGACTTGCCCAACATCAAACAAACAGGAAGTATCTGAGACTAGATTTGAACTCAGGTCTTCCTGATTCCAGGTACAGTGTTCTATTCAGTGAGCCACCAGCTCTCTCACAGTTTTCTCTTTTTCCATCATCTTTTTGGTTTCACTCTTTTTGGAGCCATGAAGTGAACTGATGAGAAAAGAAGATCTTGCCTTCACTGGCTGACCTCTCTTTTAGCCCTTGCTCTGAGAAATAGGCCTGCAGAGTTGTTTTTGTTGTTGTTGTTGTTGTTGTTGTTGTTTTTCTTTTGTGTGTCATTTTTCCTCAGTTTCAGGTGCCTTTATGAGACTGAAAATCTTTGAGAAGCCAGAGTGCCTGGGACTTGAACCCAAGAAGGGTTCTGGATTTGGAACTGCAATTATACTCTAGAATATCCAAGCTAAGGTGGGAACTAAATCCCTCTTTTCTTTCCAGTGACTGAGGGAGTACAGTGCAAGAAGGGGATTATGCTTCCCACATCTTGGGGGAGAAAGTTTGTATATTTGTGATTATACTTTCTGAAGTAAATATTCCATTGTAAAAGTTTCTGTGCTACATATGGGACCTTGCTAGGATAAAATCAAGCCCTTTGTTTTTGTGGGGATCCCCATAGAGATTCTCTGCTCAGGACTTCTGAATTTTGAGATAACCTAGATTGCAAGATCCTAAAGAAATTTGAAAAGACAAAGAAGCAAATAAACAAACCCTTTGTTTAGGCTCTAAGTGTAAAGTTATTCATTTAGTTAGTTTCCAGTGGCTGGTTCCTCACAAGTCAGTACCCTTTGTGTAATTTTGCAAACTTTTATCCTGCTGACTGCTTGACTGCTTAAGTATTGATCTTCTTTTGGTATTTTTGAATTCTATAAAAAGATTGGTATACTGATATGTTCTATGCTATTGAATCTTATATAAGCACTAGTATTAAAGACTGATGTGAGGAACCTAGAATCATTCAACTGCTCCTGTCTAGTAGAAATGGTCATGTTGTTCTTTTTTAATATAAGCAGACTAAGACTTTGTGGAAGCAAAATGCACTACAATTTTTTAGGATAAATTCCTGTGCTTGAAATCGACAAGTAACTCAAGTTTTGTGCCATTTCTCTACCTGAACCTAATTTCTTCTTGTTCTGATGGGTGAATTTACACTTCCTTTTGGTTTAGCCTACCAGTTGCGAAGATCCTTGAGCAAGTTCAGGTACCCTTTGAGATAAAAGACCTCAAGGAAATTGGTAAGACTTCTAACAAGATCCCCTATGCTAAAGGGACCCGTTTTTGTAGATCCCAATTGGATGGTCTTATACACTGAGGAAAGCATTGGAAGTTTCCATCCAGGACAGTTTTCTCATTTGAAAAAAGACTAATGCCAAGTTGATCCCAGGTCCTAAATCTCTGTGGGGAGAGTTCCAGGTAGCTTCACAAGCTCAGTGTGGATCAGATATCTGCTTGATAGGGAAGCCAACTTTCTTTGTCTTTGTTATTTCTTTTTCTTGTTGGCTGAGAAAGGTCACTATGAGGCTAAGCAAGAAGAGATACATGATAAATATTATAAAAAGATTTATTTTGTTGGCTTCTATGGAGAACTTTGTGAAAAGTTCCCTGTTCTATGAATCTGAAAAAAAACCTTTTATATTGGTAGATAATTGATTTTCATCTGTACATGTGGGATTGCGTATATTTGCAATTGGATTGCGTGGCTTCGGGGAAGCAAGTGAAGGGTAATTGTTTATGGCTCCTCCAAAACCATAGAGAACTGTATTGAATTTGGGATGAGGACTATGAACAAAATGTACCCCTGCTTATTTGCCAGGATATAAAATTTCAAATGGAGAAATGACTAGCCTGACCTTGAGGGACCTTTGAGCATACCTATTTTGCCTCATCTGATCACTGTCTTTCCACTATCTTTTAGTGCCTCATTTGGGTGCCATGAACAGAACCAGTGAGAAGGGAAAGCCCCGCCTCCCTGTGCTTATCAATTTTACTCCTGCTACGAGAAATGGGCCTGGAATTATTTGTTTCTGTTCTGTGATCCCTAAGGGATCTGATCCTCAAGGTACCTATGAGTTTGAGCCATGGTGATATTAGATTAGAGACAAGGCCACCAGCCAGATCAGTAGGGAAACCCTGAGGAGAGAGGGTATGTGGAACTTGAGCCTGAGAAGGGTTTCGAACTCAAAAGTGGGACTATGGTCTATGTCAGGAGTGGGGAACCTGCAGCCTCAAGGCCACATGTGGCCTTCTGAGTACTCAAGTGAGGCTCTTTGACTGAATCCAAACCCCCTAGGAGGATTTGTTCTGTGAAGTTTGGTTTCACTCAAAGTGCCACACTCGAGGACCTAGAGGGACACATGTGGCCTTGAGGCTGCAGGTTTGTCACCCCTGGTCTGTGGGACTCAAACTAAAATATGAACTTAATCCTTTGCTCTTCCTCAGAGAATGAGTTGGTACAAAGTTGACTGGGGAGAGAACTATGCCTCTCACTTGTTGAGGGGTGGTATTTTTACGTATTTGTGATCATGCCTTCTGGAGCAAATACTACTTTGTAGAAACTCCACGATGTTACTTAATAAAGGAAGAAAGTGTAGGGGAAGAGGGCAACAATTAAACTTCACTCCCATATGAACTGGTTTAAAGAGAAAAGGAATACACATACACAATAGTACAGAAATTTATTTTACTCAATAGGGAAACAGAAATGAAGGGGAGAAGAGTAAGGGCAGAATAAGAGGGAGGGTAGATTAGAAAAGGTTTTCTCCTGAGAAAAATAAACTCTGACTAATGAGAGTGGATCTCAGAAAGAGGGTGAAACTAAAACAAAGGGTAAGGACTTGTGATTGGCCTCAGGATAAAGGAAAGAGAAGAAGGGCAGAAGAGCAGAAACAGATTTCATCAAACCTGAAACACTAATGCTGAACACAATTCTCTCTCTCTTCTAATTTTTATAAAGAGGGTGTGGGAAACAATTAGAAGTGAAAGTAGAAGAGAAGATGATGGAGGGAAACACAATGCTCAATTAACAATAATTATAGTGAATGTCAGTGGGATTTACTCTCCCAAAGAAATTAAAAGGAATAGCAAAATGGCTTAGAAAACAGAATTCAACAACATGTTTACTAGAAACATGCTTAAAAAATTCACACAGGGTTGAAATAAGGGAAGATAAAAAATTTAATAAGCTTCAGCTAAAGTAAAAAAAAAAGTCAGGGGTCTGCACCATGGTTTAATATAACGCAGTAGCAAATATAGAATTAATTAAAAGAGATGGACAGGGAAACATTTTGCTGAAAGGCTTCACAAAAAATGAATTTATATCACTATTAAACATGTTGTTGCTTGTCACTTAATTTTTGTAGAGGGTCAGTGACATCATTGTCTTGACTTCCTCATGAATTGGACTTCAGTGAAGCAGAGCTGCACAAAGTCCTCAGCTTCACTCTCTCTTCCAGAGTCACTGATGTCTAGAGGAAGCTAGGTGGCACAGTGGATAGAACTCCA